GTAACCACACTGCACTAGTTCATAGAAGAATCCTGAACTAGTTCATAGAAGAATCCTGAACACCATCTACCCCAAGACAGGACGACAAAAGGTATGAAAAGAAATCGGAAAAGAAAACAAAGCCAGTGGCATTAGTGTGAAATTGCAAACAAACAAACAAACAAAAAAATCAAAGACATGAGGCAGTTGCAACTACCTAAAAAAGCCTTTCTAAACTGCTAGAAATTATTTTTATATTCAGATTTGTGCACATAAAATAACAATCTTGTCACCTTAAAAAAAAAAGAAAGAAACAAACTTAATATTAAAAAGCTGTATGGTTAAAAAAAACCAGGCCTTATCGTAGAGGAAATTGCATTAATAAATAGAGAAACTAGGTTTCTCAGAATATTTAGTATCTGAAGCCTGAAAACTTTTAGACCTTCAAATGGAAGCATCTCACATTTAATATAAAACTACATATTACACCAGTTTCAACATCTGCCTGAACTTGCCTGAAGCACTCAGTTATAACAGCACTTCTGTATTCCAACTTATTTCACCAGGACTGATTTTTTTCATTACATATTTAATACAATAAACTACTTCCCAAACATACTATGTGTATTCTTAAGCTTTCTAAGTAATAATTCCGTGGTCACAAAATTGCGTCCTTCCATAGTTTTCCCCACACTGCAAATACAAGTACAGTGTATGTATCTCGCTAAGGAAACCTCATAACTAAGTGTACACGTATATTTTTACAAACTCAAAATTCTACACTTTGTAAGTGGAAAAATAACAATTAAAAAAGTAGATCTAACTTTTAAAAGTCCAAACTAATGTTGCAGAATAGAGGACTCAAACTGGAAAAAAAGGAATGTAAGAATATTCTAAAAAGGGAACCCAGGGGACCAGAAAGAGACTGAACCATTGCACTTAATTTACATTTGAAATAAACAGCTCACAACAACACCAGCAGAAAATGGAACACTTTATAAACAGACATAATAACAGGTCACAAGGGAAAAGCAGGTCCCTAAAAAGCTCAAATATCTTCCATGGATGTGCAAGATCTCAGCAAATTATAAAATGAACCCAAAGGATCGAGAAGGGCAAACTAAGTGTACAAAGTAACAGATCATATCAGACCAGCACAGAACATTGTCCAGCCCTTACAACTCTTTCATACAAATGCTGATCAAGTACAGAATACAAACCTGCTTCTATATTTTGTCATCACCTACAGTTGCTTTTCAGAAAGATGCCTCTTTTAGCCAGAGCTGAGTATGACTCAGGCTTTGTTAAGTAAAGGCTCTCACTGACTTTGAGCAAACTCGTGGCTGTGCCATGTCTCTTACACTTGGGTCATCGGTTCACAATCTCCACGTTTACTTCACTGCATCTGAATTTTAAAGTTCACACAAGTCTGAGAGTCTGGGTGTTTTCAACAACTGTTTGAAACAACAGATCCTCTACATGGAAGACTCACATAGAAGAGCTATGCTGAAACTAGAGTAGGGAGTTAACCAGCTTCTAGTAGTAAAGATCATCCTCATGAAGCAACAAAATACAGGGCAGATGATTTTATTGCCAACAGGCACCCTCTTGAAAAAAACAGGTACCATACAGACACTCCAAATGAGGTCAAGAGCGAATGGGCCGGAGTTAAATTAAGCTTTAAACCACTGAGTCACCTCAAAAGCAGATGAAGGATTTATTTTTTAAAAAATCTTTCCCTAGCCTTGCTCAATCTATAAACATGTGTCAGAAATATTTGTCTTTTGAAGGTGGAATTAGCAGAAGTTGGCACCTGCAGAAAGAGACAGGCACCACCACCAGAAGGAAAACAAGCCTCGAATTTTTTTATGTTACACAACTTTATGGAAAACTTTGTAGCTTGCCAGTTCAGAGAATAGATGAAACAGAAATGAAGCATTACACTGAAGCTAAGTTTAGTGTGCCCTTAGGACTCCATCAGAAAGTACAGTCTAAAAATCCTGTACGTGTTCAAAGAAAATTTCTAAGGGAAAAGTGAAAAGGATTTTCTTTTCAACTACATCAGCTTACTTTGATTTCTCTTCTCTCATGAATGTATCATTTTAGCTTCCAGTAAAGACTGTGGCAGGCAACTAGCTCTCCAAAGACACTACTACCAGATTACATAAATTTGTCTTGCTCCTTACAGGCAGATACAGGTTTCCTCCCTTGTAATATTAAACAACAAACATAGAATCATGGAACAGTTTGGGCCGGAAGGGACTTTGAAGATCAACTAGTTCCAATGCCCTGCCATGGGCAGGGACACCTTCCACTATACCAGGTTGCTCAAAGCCCAACCCGGCCTTGAACACTTCCAGGGATGGGGCATCCACAACTTCTCTGGGCAACCTGTTTCAGTGTCTCACCACCCTCACACTAAAGTATTTCTTCCTAATAACTATTCCAAACCTACTCTGTTCCAATTTAAAGCCGCTAACACAAAATCCTTCCATTAACTGCTCCACTGCCCCCAGCCCACCTGCAGCTGGAATCAAGGTTTTGTGCATATGTCAGAGTGGAGCCTGTTCCCTCCTCCAGCTGAGGGGCTGATGATTATGCCCACTACCCACACAACAGCTGTCTATTAGCATATTTTAAGAAATTATATTAACCACATAACTTCATGAGCAGCAAGAACAGGAATGGGTAGGAGAGGATGTTAACATAATTGTGCATGTAAGGAACACACTCAGTGTGCTCCATCATGCTCAGACCAACCACAAATGCACTTGTAATATGCTCCTGCAGCTATGAGGCTGCACACTCAGCTGGGGGCGGCAGCACTTTATGCACTCCTAGAATTCTGTGGTCTTCCAACATAAATTAAAGACTAGATCACAACTGTACCAATGCATGACTTAAAAGGCAAAATTGTTATTATTATTCCCACTGGTTAAACAATAACAAAGGTGGCTAGTGATCCATGTTAAGATCAAAGTAAAGTTTCAAGAGAAAGAATATTCTGCCTCCAATGTCCAAACAAAACAACACTGCATCTCTAAAATATGAGTTACTGATGTCTTATATGATTTCTTACATGGCTACACCAATAGGAAGAGTTACCAACTGCTCTAAATGGGCTGAAAAAGCTTTAGAAAAGCAGCTGTAGTACAGATGAGACATTTCTTTGAGTTTAATAGACCTTCACTACTTGTAACAGTACCCAGAGAGGCTGCACACAGTTCCTTCAGACTCAAAATCTGTGCATCCTATCAGATACAAAAGCACCATACGTAGCATAAGATTTATCAGAACAAGACTCTGGTGGAAATGAGTAGGAGATAATTAGCACACAAATACAAATGGAAAAACAGACACGAGGGAGAAGACAGGTGATTTGTGCATACACCCGTGTTTTCATACCACAACGGTGATTAAGATAATGCTTAAAGCCTTCCTTACAAAATAGTATTTTACTTTTTATGCCCCTTCACTAGTCACAGCTTCAAGGACATACACTACATGCCCTCCCAAAAGAGAGAAAGTCCAAAACGTCTCCTAAAGTAACAATTCTCTTCATACAGGCTTGTTTTGCACTCTTCGGAAAAAAACATCCCAGAAAGAGAACACTTCACCTGAAGAAATAAAGTCTTAACATCGATTTGTAAAATACAGAAAAGGAATTAACGCTCCAGGGATCCAAGCAAGTCTCTGTTACCAAATGACCGAGCCGTAGGCCTACATAAATCAGTTAACAGTGGGATTTTAGAGTCTCCCAGTGTAGCTGAAAAATATTTAAAGGTAAATTATGAAATCATATTTTAATTCAAGAAATATCTTCTTTCTCAGATAACAGCGACCACAGAGAGAACGTGATCCCCCAGCTGAGCAGGGACAGCACGTGCACAGGAGACAACACTGCATGTCTGCTGTGAGCAGCATGTATTTCCTTCCTGGAATTGAAGCAGGAGAGACAGGAACCCCATCAAAACACCTCCACCAGCTTTGAATAGCCTGGAAAACAATTACGAGGCAGCCAGAGAGGAAACCACAACCGCTCTCTGTCTGCATGCAGGATGCAGGGCTGCACCTGCCTGCTCCGTATGGCTCCATTGGGAGAGCACTGGGCATGAGGGGTCAGGGAAAAAACATGAAGGTTACACACAGCCACTGAAAACAGCTCAACGAGGCAGGAGGATCCCAGTATCACAAGTGGTAACACAAAATCCCATGTGCACCTGACAGGAACAAGGCTGCACCTGAGGGCTGAGGTGTTCACAGAATGGATCAGGATGGAAAGGATCATAATGAGTCATCTGGTCCAACCTCCCTGCTAAAGCAGGGTCATCCTAGAGCACATGGCACAAGATTGTGTCCAGACAGTTCTTGAATATCTCCAGTGAGGGAGACTCCACATCCTTTCTGGGCAATGTGTTCCACTGCACGGTCACTGCACAGTAAAGAAGTTCTTCCTCATGTTCAAGTGGAACTTCCTGTGCATCTCCTATGCCCGTTGCCTCTCGTCCTATTGCTTGGCAACACCAAGCAGAGCTTGATCTATCCCCTTAGCACCCTCTTTTAGATATTTATACAAATTAATGAGGTCCCCCCTCAGTCTTCTCTTCCCGAGACTGAACACTGTTCACGAGGTTGTTGCACAGTTATCTGTTCCCAGAGCACTCCGATGGAGCACACCGATGTCCTGTATGGATACACAGCATTCTCCCTTTTCACTGAAAGCACGGGGAGAAGAAAACGCTCCAGGGGGCCGGTCAGCGCTGGGATCCTCCAGCCGGCCCGGAGGGAGGAGCACGCACAGCGCTGCCCACCCGGGACGGGCCCCCGAGTCCCTCCGGGCACTGGGACAGGCAAGGACAGCGGGGGGGAGCGGGACACCCCCGCGGCTGCACGGGGCCAGGGCTGGGGGCGGCGAGCACGGCGGGCGGGGGTCCCGCAGTGACAGGGCGGGGAGGAGGTGGGCGGGGAGGAGGAGAGCGGGCGGGAATCGCGCAGCCGGAGAGCCCGGCGGAGGGTCCTACCGTGTACTCCCGCACTTGGCTGTGGAAATTCTGCTCCCGGATCGTCACCTCGTCCGCTTCCATCCTTCATAGTCCCGCGGCCCCCGCGCGCAATGGCGGCCGCCGCCGCCGCGCCTGCTCCTGCCCCGCCGGCGGCGGGCGGGCCACCATGGCCAGCGGCAGCCCGGCTGCTCCCCCGGGCCCCGGCGGCGGCGGAGGGGCTCTGGCTGCGCCGGTGCGTCCTGGGCGGGCGCGGCGGAGGAGGAGGAGGAGGAGGAGGAGGAGGAGGAGGAGGAGGAGGAAGGGCGGGCAGCGCCGCCTCAGCTCCTCCTGCTGCGTCACCGCGCAGCGACCCCGCGCGCGCCGCAGCCCCGCCCCCGGCCCCGAGAGGGGCGGGGCTAAGGGGTGGGGGCGTGATCACACAGCAAGGGGCGTGGCTTAGCCTGAAGGAAGGGAGGGCGAACGCGACCCGGAGGCGGGGCCAAGGGAAGGCGGGGCGGGGCCTTGGGGGCGGGGCCAGGGCGAACCGGGACGCGAAGGGGCGGGGCTTGAGGAGCGGGCTGGGGGGTGTTTTTGATTTTAGCGGCAAGGGCGAGTTTCGCGGAATCGCGGAGGCAATTGGGTTGGAAAAGACCTCTGAGTTCATCGAGTCCAACCGAATGACCGAACACCACCATGTCAACCAGACCATGGCACCGAGTGCCACATCTAGTCTTTCTTGAAACACCTCCGGGGACGGTGACTCCACCACCTCCCCGGGCAGCCCCTTCCAATGTCTAATCACCTCGGGTCGTGTCGAAACAGGTCACCTGTTTGTGCCTGTGCGGGGCAGGGACAGGCGGAGTCCCTGTGCGTCCTGGGGGCAGGGAGAAGGGGAGATGGGAGAGGGGAAAGGAGTTACAACTTGAGTTCCCTTTCCCCGGAGCAGCTTTTTGCCTTTGGGTGATTTCTGCCGTGTTGTTCTTTGCCCGAGCGCTGTGGTGCAAAGGCGCAATCACCCTCTTTTCCCCGCTCCCACTACACGCGTGGACGATCTTCGCTTCTGAGTTTGCAAGTAGCTCAATTGTCTAAATACACGCAAAAGACTATTGATCTAGGACACACTACAAAATACAGATTGGGTTTAGCAAACCAAACACTTCTTTCAATCCAAATTCACAACATTATTCTAAAGAAATTTCAAAAATAAGGATTATCATTATCTGCCTATTTGCATCTATTGATACATTATCCATGATGTCGATGCCAATCATAACTCTGATTATATTCACTCCCCAGGCTCTGGCCCTTCTTCTTGGTTAAAACAGATGGTGAGGTATTTAGGAAATTTTGGAGTTAGCAGAAGTATTTCTTGTAGTTCTGAATGGATGCAGAACTTCCTACAGCTTCAGTATGGTCACAGTTCCACCCTTGTTTTTGATACTTGTGAAGATACAGACGAGGTATTTGCAGGCAGAATCACACCGTGGGTGTGAGGCCAGAAATACTCCCACCCTCTCTCCTCCTGAAGCCCACTGCTCAAGGAGGGAGACTTTAGGTATTCATTGAAGCTGCAGCAACAGAGGACAATCAAAAGCAGAGCTGGAGGAACAGGGAGCACAGTCTTTGAGCTGCTTCTTGGGGAAAGCTGTCCTACTTTACCGCTATTCCCAACACAGCACTAGATTCTGTCTGTTAGACAATATTTTTACTCATCTGGGTTTTTTCATTCACCTATTCCCACTTATCTTCAATCTCCTTTTCTTTTTCAGATGCTGAAAGTGGGGAAAGCATCCATAGCTGCCAAGAGGAATTTGACATGAGACCTGGGCTTGTGAGAGCAGCTGATGTTGTTCTCTGCTGAGGAGCTGGTCCAGAGTGAACAGTGTAACTGCAGGCAAGGTTTATAGGTAGAAGCAATATCTTTTACTTTAACAACAAACACAGCTGGCAAGAGCAGACAACTGTCTGGTATGCAAGAATCTGATCTCAGGGAAACCAAATTCTCTCAGAGCTGCCTATAGAAATATTGGTATAGACAGGTTCCCTGCTTTCATCATCTTGTATAAAAGACATGCACAATAAATTACAATGGCATTATAACCAGGGTATAAGGAACTTAGTGTTAGGCCTTCAGTGGATTTATGAAGAAGATGGAAGTGCCGTAGCCAGAACAAACGAGATCTAAGAACTGGGGAGACCAGAAGGTCCAATTAAATTGGGAAAATGAGAACAGTCAGATATTCAGTCAGCTATGAATATGTTAAATCATACATACTAATACCGAAACAAAGGAGTAGCATGGTTGAGATTCAGGCCACAGGCAAGCAAGCAAGCTGATCCACGCACAAGGATGACCCACAAGAAGCAGATGGAGAGTGAAAAAGTCTGAGGAAGAAGAGGCAATAAAAGCCATAGTTAGGAGTCAGGGAAAGATCTCAGGGCCAGGACCCTGTAGGCTCTTAGGGAGCTTCTGCCAGCACATACCGATGCCCGCTGCCTGTTGGTTAGGAATCTAGGCCTGGGGTGAGTCTCAGTTCCTGAGCTACCTGAGAAATTATTCACCCACTGCCCAGGAACAGCTCATGGAATCTGAAACTAAGTTTATTTTATTAAAGAGCTCTCAGAGTTGTATCTAGGCACCAAGAATTTAATGCATTTCTAACTTTATCTGCAAAGATATTAAACACAGGAAGACTGTGAAAAAATTAGCCGTATTTTGTAGCTGTTATAGAAATTAAAACTAAGATTTGGAAGAACTGAACCCTCCACTTCCACTTGGGCTGTACATTTTCTTTTTAATCTATTGAATTTGAAATAAACCCGAGGAGGAGACACAGGACATAATTTGTCTCATTCTGTGGACTGGCAAGTTCTTTCTTCCATTTCTAGCAGACGAATCATCAGAAACATGATACACATTTGTATTTGCAGGAAAGGCGGGGAAGGGGAGGAAATAGCTTCGGCCCTTTCTTGGGCAGAAGTTATTGCTCAGTTCTGAGGTGTTTGCATCACAAAGGAAGGTCATGGTAGCCACCACAGCAAAATCTATTTATATCAAAGGAAGTTCAGTGCAGAGTGGGCAGCTCTTGCAAACCAGTGAGGAGATGCATCCGACTGACTGACGCATCCATTGATTTCTGATGAGAGGAGTATTTTGAAGCATACCAGAAGAAAAACTCACAAATCAAGTACCTTGTACCAGAGAATGTTTGAAAGACCTCTGGACATTTTTCATCAATATTTAAGACAAAACAAGACAGTACTGGAGGGACTGTCCTCAGCCATTCCTAGGACCTCAGTAACCCTAAGGATTTTGCGAGTTTATTACTTTTCAGTCTAGTTTTAAATACATTTTTCAGCTTCAGGATTACCCAGTAAGTGTCTGGTTCCCTGATTCCCCAAGGAGGGTTTTATGTGCAGTGTTACCTGTGAGACCCTCTAAAAAATAAGTTGGGATATTCAAGCTAATACAATTCAGTTGAATTGTCTAAAATGGAAGTTTCTAAATTTGGAACTCTTTCACTAGGAAGGTTCCCTCAGAATTTGCCAATGGATTTTAAATCACTCTCTTTAACTGTAAATGTGAATTTGGCAGCATGCCTTAAAACCTAAATCCATCTCACAGCAATTGAATAGATGATGCCTTCTTTTCAAGCCATCATTGAGCCAAGGGCAGCTTGGACTAAATAGAAAATAGGAAGTTATTCTCTCAGTTAATACGATACTTACATGCTTATATTCAAAATATTGCCTAAGAATTGGCCAGATTGAAGCCCAAAGCCCAGTTTAGTATGTTGCCAAGAATGGCCATTGATTTTAAAGAGAATTTAGGGTAAACACACACCACAGATGATACCCAGCACTTTACATACTCAAAAGCCAGTCATGGAAGACAAAAAGAAAGATGCAAAAGTTAAAATAACTTGATCATGATATAAAAGAAATTTTATGCTATCATAGTTATTTATGATAATTAATAATAAATCATAATTGTTCGTTATTTATTATAAATTAGGATTATTTATTGGGTGATTATTTCAGTGTCTTATATTTGGTAAGCTAAAGCATAGCAAGAGTTGCATCAGAACTTGAGAAATCCAGCTCAATCAGTCTTGGATTCATAACTTCTACTTTCTATTTCTTTACTTTTTTTAGAACAAAATAGTATGATTATTTATTTTTTTTGTTCCAAATACTTCCAGCCTGTACCTTCATTCTGTCAACCCAGTAACAATAACTGCCCAGCTAAATGTATTACGGCATAATATATAAAATAAAATAGGATTCAGTGATGAATAAAACCCCTTCTAGTGCCTAAGTTTGCTTCACTTATAGGAGCCTAAAGAGAGAAAGCTTGCAGAGTTTCTTACAGGCAGAGGCATAAACTCTGCAGGAGTTCAGTGTTGTCAATACAGGAAGTATAAGTCATGTCGTGAAGCTAGAACAGTTTCAGTTCCATATCTAGGCAGCATGAAGTGCCTGAAAGCTCACTTTGCTTCCATTCACCTTTAAGTGTCTTTCATGCCCTACTGTGAGCATTCAAAGCACTTCTCAGATCAAAATAACAACAACAACCAAAACCAAACCAAACCAAAACAAAAAAAAACAAAACAAAACAAAACAAAACAAAAAAAAAAAAAAAAAAAAAAACAAAAACAACAACAACAAAAAAAACCACATTAGGAATGAAGTAAAAGGGAATATACAGGACATCTGCTCCATCTGTGAAGCCATGGCTGATTTGGCTGATTCCTCGAGTAGATATTTACTCGTAAAACTCCTAAACTGCTGCCAGGGTCAATATTGTTACAGAGTTGAGGACTCAAAAACCAAACCAACAGAAAAAGCAATACAAACACACACACAAACACAAAAGCCTCCCTTTCACCAGTCTATGTCTGTTTTGAGCCCAGAAATTAGTGTTAGATTCAATCAGTCTCTGAAAGGTGTTCAGCTAGAACGGATAGGTGAAAAGAGTGAAAACTCACTACTTCTCTTTATGGTGTGTTCAATATTTAATTCCCGCTAATCACAATTCACCTCAAAATCTCCTTTACAGTCACTTTAAAAGATCTACTCTTAGTAAATTTACTCTTTAAAGATTTTTCTCAACTGCGAACTCAATTTTTTTTCTTTCATGCCTGAATACTCTCCAA